AAAAAAAAAAAAAAAAAACCATGACGATGACACGGGCGCATCCCACGGTGTGGCAGTAGCGCTGCAGGCTGTCAACCACGTACGGCACGCACAGGAATGTGAAAGTGGTTGAGGAGATTACGTGCATATGAATGCTCGGTGAGGTTGATGATTGTACAGTATAGATGTGGGAGTTAATCGGGAAGGAAATGATAAGATATCAAACTTAACAGCGGGGCCCGATATGCAGGACGTTGAGGGAGATGAAAATCGGAAAAGGAAAATTATAGTTAAGAAGGAGAAGAAAATATATATATATATGAACAGGTTTAGGCACAATCATTCGAGAACTTTTCTGGCATAGGAAGAGCAGAAGGTGGAGGAGTAGCAGTATGGGAATACAAAGGCTGGAAATAGTACGATAGAGGAGGAGTACTGGATGAGCGACGATAAGATGATCCGGTCAGAAGAAAAGAGTGGAGAAGATCAATAGGCAGCATACGTACTGGTCAAAGTTCATGGCTGATGAGGGACTCTTTTTCCTCTAGGATTCGGATCAAATCAAATAGAAGGAAACAAAGAGGCGAAGTTACATGGAATAGAGAAATAAATGATACACAAGAGAGAGTATGAACGAGTGAGAAAAAGAAAAGGTGAAGAGTGAGCTGAGAGGAGAATACTTTACTTGTACAGTAAAGTTCCTGTACAGTTACAGCTGAGGGGAAATCAAATTAATCCTGTACTAGAGAAAAGCACCAATCCCGACGTCTCCGAGCTTGCTTGCTTTTTATAATAAATCATAATAATTATTCACTTATTTTCTCCTTCCTTTATCCCCCCGTATTTAATCCTTTTTGCAAGCAATTCCCGATAATAACACACCTGACAAAAAGAGAGAAAAAAAAAGCATGATAAAGAACGTTTCTATTAAGGTCCTATCCTAACGGTTTCCTTCACCCTAAAATGTTCAAGGATACCGGAAACGGCGTATATACTACAAGCCTCAGTCTTCCAAATTCCTGTAGTATCAGATTCATTGTAACGCTCCGATGATTGTACTATGGTCGAGACTTCACGGCTTAGCTCAATTTACCAGCCACCAAAGCCCTCCATGTCAAACCCTAGGTAGGTCAAGGCAAATATATAGGTGACAAACCAGCGTTCTTGGACACTCAACGGGGTAATCTACAAATATCAGTCTAGACAAAACTGTGTCGATCCATAGAGCCCCATTTCAACCCTGGTCTTTCTTTCTGGGCTAACCTGACAATGCTGCAGTTGTCCAGTTGGGGCCAAACAGTCTGACATCGCCTGTTGTGAGGGGCTGTTTACCCAGTGAGCTCTGGCCACCACCGACTACTACTAGGGCGACATTAATCCGTCTTACTTGGCAGGCAGGTTAAAAAAAAATGATGAGTATGCTCATGGGTAAGAATCAGGTTTGTCGTTTTTGAGTTTTCATCCTTTTTCAATCCGCGTACTCGAAATTAACTATGAGAAGTGGGGTAACACTCAACCATAAATCAATTAAGTATAGTTAATGTTAATTGGTACCTGTGTGTCAACATGACATCTGCACCGTTAGATCAGATCATAATGCAAAATTCTATTGTGTTTATTATTATCTTTGTTATTGTTATCCTTATTTATCCATTTTTCTGAATGCTTCTGTAAGAAACAATATATAAATAGAAGAAGGAGGTGGTCGTTGTTGTGTACATATAGTCATAGTCGGGTTCGTGCATATATAGAGCGAGAGCAGAAGGGGCGCGTGATCTTTTGGCATCAACTTGACTCGGTTCTTGGATTGATATCATTCCATAGCTACTTTAGTAGATCTGCTTATTGGTGATGCCTTTCGAATCCTCGAGTCCATCAACTAACTCTATATACTGATCGGTACGATCCTGAATTAGAAAATGATGGTAGTGCTTTATCATATACAGCATAGCAGCAGAATGTTGCAGTACATACGGGACTGATTGACGTCATCACTGATAAGAATAAATCACGTGATGTACACGCGGCCCCGGATTCGGCGTGGATCCCGTGCTAAATGAGCTCAGCTCCCGTGCCCTTCTGTGCTCTGGAGATACCCGAGATACATGACACATCTGTAGGACAGAATCTCTCCGTGTTCTCTACGTGTTGACCGCCCTTTCTCCTGCCATCTGCTCCCTTCTAGCACGGCTTCCCTTTGGCCACGTTGGCACTTCATTGAACTCTGGTCGTGGTCGCACATTCCAATCTATGGTTACGAAGCAACAATTGTACAACACTACGCGAAGCTTTCGAGTACTATCCTAATAGCTTCGGGAAGGGCAGGCAATAGCGAGGCAGTAGGTCTCTTAGCAGCACTCGAACTGGTTTGATGGCTATTGCTTGGATAGTGTCGTGATTCATGAACGTTGAACCCCTACCTACAAGCCATATACTTGAGAGACTCTGCGTTAGATAACACAATACAATGGACCCAAAGTGGAACATTTTTCGCATATTAGGCGATCTCGCCCATATCTCTTCAAAATGCATCCTGCTGTGGGCCATCCATCGCAACAAGAGCGCGGAAGGTCTGTAAGCTGTCCCTAATTTTTGTTAGGTATTATACTCACCTACTGCTTTTCATCACAGGTGTTTCGCTTCTTACCCAGGTTCTATATATGATGGTCTTTCTCAGTCGTTATCTTGAATTATTCATAGGGAGGGGATGGGGGACCTTTTATCTCGTGTTTTTCAAGCTCTTTTACATCTTCTCTTCGGCATATATCATCTTCTTGATGATGAAGGTATTTCCCCGGACACGGGAAAGGGAGAGGGCATGGAAACTGGCTTTGGGCTCTGCTGCGGCGTCTTTAGTGTTAGCACCCATCTTGACGCTAATATTCAGACATCCTTGGCCACAGAGATGGTTCACGGAGGTGAGTTAAACTAGGGATACATAATTTGTTGTAATCTAGACTAACGACGCGGGGCCTATGCTATATAGATTTGGTGGACATTTTCGATCGTCCTGGAATCCGTTTGCGTGCTACCCCAACTACTGCTCCTACGCCAGACCACCGTCCCCACCGTCATCGACTCCTATTATCTCCTTACACTAGGTTCCTACCGGGGGTTCTACATTCTGAATTGGCTGTATAGGGGATTTGTCTCTCATTACTGGGACCCCATTTCAGATATTTTTGGCATCGTCCAGACCGCATTCTATATTGACTTCGCTTGGGTCTACTACACGCGACAGCGTGTGAAACTCCGCAATGGCGGTGTTGTAGACTCTGAGGATTTCCGGAACAGCTGGCTGGTCAACAAAGTGTTGAGTTTCAGGCAGCGAAGGAGCGTCGATGAAGAACAACACCTCCATGATGAAGGAACAGAAGCCGGACATGGGGCTGATGGTGAACGGCCGAGAAACAATCGCTGGGGAGCTCGAGGGATCAGTATCTCAGCAGATGACACACTAAACGAGAGTCGCCACCCCAAGCCCAGCAGCGCAGGTGACGACCGACTGGAGGGATTTCTGGAGGATGAAGAGGACACTTGGGAAGAGCACGCAAACCAGCAAACACAGCACAAGCATTCTCCTGATGTGACGGACAATCAGAAGTGATCTATTGATGGACGACGGAGGTAGGAATTTTACTTATAGAAGGCTTTTTGCTGCAGGTTTGACATGTTTGTTGTATCTTTATTTCTGGGTTTATTTTGGGGCTTGTGTCATCATGATTCTGACTTTTACAATCAAGTAAAACCACATTGAGTTTTTGAAGCAGTAGCGATCGACTAATATTCGATGTGAGACTGAAATTGGAATGATGGATACTATTTTTGGAATTAAATCAGCCCTGTCAGGGCCTTAGGGACCCTGATTTGATATAATTATAAATGATAATCTGCATGGGCCAGGCAGGGGAAAGAGGGGAGGGGCGGAGTTGACGAGAGGGGGAAATAACTGGAGAAATGAAATAAAAAAAAATAGTAATAGCAAATAAGAACATCAGCTAAAGTAAGCCTATCCTTCCATGAAAGAAGCATCGATGAAAAAACGAACGTGGAACCGTTGTTTCAAGAATTGCTCTGAGCCATGGCTGCGCCATTTCATAGCCACGGACCCCATATCAAGGCCGTTGAGACTACATCCATGTTTGGTAAACAAAGGAAGGGGGCCAAGTCGAAGTCAAGAGGGCAAAACTGCCTGATCAGCGTTCGGAAGTCGGCTTTGGGGGTGGGAAATAGGTTCGTGAATCCCTGTCCCATACTATTATTTACTAAGTACCGAGGGCAGCGTGTGCAAACTGGTAAGCTATCGGCGATGGGCTGATGTCAATTTGAAATTCTTTTTAATTAGCTCTTCCCCTTCCAGTTTTAGCCCCAATCCTGTGACATCACGTGCCAGCTCCTTCCCGTCACCCATGGAGATGCATCATTGCCATATCCGTCCTTCGTCCGTATGGATGGTGGTGAGAGGTCGACCAGAAAATTACACGACCATCAGCCTCAATATGCTGTGCTTGGGGCCGCCGGAGAAGAGAGGGGGCGGGGGAGGGGAGAAATGGTGTATATTCTTCATGATCATAGCGAGAAAAATATCCCGTGATTGATCTGTTTAAGCGCTTGTGCCATCCCGACTCCCGAGATCCACCGCTGACGGTCTGGAAATGAGGGCTCAGAGCCAATCTCTCATCTCATCTGGCGCCTAACCATTTGATATCGTCGGAGACACGTGGCGCTGGTTGGATCATTTGGATGCACACCACCGGGAGGATTCTTGAGGATTACTACCTTATGTCTGAGGGTCTAGATAACTAACTTTGCTAGACTCAGCTGTTGAAAGAGTTGAAATGTCATCGTGGTGGTCAGAGCGAGCAATATCCCCAGTCCTGTCAATCCCGCTAATTTTGACTAGTTCGTTCCGAGTCCACCGGGGATTTGCAGCCGCAGCAACGAAGCAGCGCTTAATGACCCGCTTTGGTTCTTCCGGAGCAGCCCATCCACAAGCTTTACCTGCTCTGGTGATGGGAACTGGACCCTATGGGGGTATTCGAGTCTTAGTCGATGGAGCAAATGTTTCTATGTGTCTTGTGCCTCTCCATTCCATAGATTCACTCGTTCGGGACTTTGTCCAGGTAAGGAATCCTAGTTGATGACCCTATTATTGTTGGGGCTACACACTAGTAGCTTATCTATCAACTTCTCCGGCCCTTTAGGCCTCCCCACTCGTGTAGTGACTAGAAGTCATAGAATGGCCTTCGCTTGCATTATGTCCGGGAAATTTGTTTTTGGTTTATTTTTATTTTTCGATGTATTATTATTATTTATTTATTTATTTTTTTTTTTAATTTGATTTGATTTTCTTTTCTTTTCTAAATTTTTTTTGTTCCTTCCAAATGACCCTTCCTTTCAATTGAACCTGGCAAAAAGTCTGTTTATTATTACTAGTATTTTATTTTCTTGTCAGATCCAGCGCTAATTCAACCCCCCCCCCTGAACCTGGCAAAAAGTCTGTTTATTATTACTAGTATTTTATTTTCTTGTCAGATCCAGCGCTAATTCAACCCCCCCCC